TACACAGTAGAATTACTATGGGGATCCTTTGCTACAATTCCAAACAACACATCTCTCCAGAACAGAAGACAACTATTATCAATTTTATCCTTGATCAGAATGTATATTTTTTTGCCAGAACACATGAACAAATTGGCAGCTCCAAAATGGAGCACTGTTTCAGGGGAGTTCTTACAGAAGCTGCATAGTATATCAATGTTCAGTTTGAATATATTTTGTATATAGACTTTAGCTCGGTAAATTCTATGGATCAGTTTAAAGGAGATTTATTTTCCTTATTCTTTATCAGAAATCTATTAGGAATCAGCCAAACCTTTTTCCATTGCACATAATCAACAAATGAGTTCCAATTAGAAACAGCAGGAGGCAAAGACATTGTATTCATTTGAAATAAAGTTCTTACTGACTTATTATTTCTGGAATAACTAGATAAACAGATTGTTCCTACAGTCGTATTAATAGGAGACAGCATAGATGTGTTATGCGCATCAATCCTCTGTTGATGAAGAATGAACGACTTTGCTTGTGGCCCCAGTGTGCCCCCCTCAGATTCCCTCCTTACGCGTAGTACCACAGCCTCTCCTCGGGGAGGCGCTATAACCTGGACTTCTCCCCGAATGAATGTGTAGTGTTCGGCTAGCCGGCTGATAGCTTGGCTTTGGCAATGTTGTCACTATCAGAATGATATCCCAGCGGGACAGAGGAGAACTCGCTCGGTTTTATACAGTAACAGATCCCACGAGGCACCAGAAAGGCTACACTGTGTATAAAGTCACCGCCACGGTGAGTAAACCGAGGCAGGGCTTTGTGGCAGCTTGGCTAACGCTAATTGTTATTAGCTAGTTAGGTAGCATAGGCAGAGCTAGCCAAGCCAATGAGATGGAGATATTAGGCAATGATAACAGTGATTTAACCCATCGAGGACGACTTCCTATTATTGGTAATTTTATAACCTTTCCATTTTACATATTTTAAGTAACGATTAGCATTAAATTGCTGTAGGGTTCTCGATTAAAATGTTACAATTCAGACAGATATTGATCAAATAAAAGCCTATAGTAGGATGACTGGATTCACAACGAAAGCTTTAATTCACGGCAGCGTTTTAAGCTGTCACAATAATGTTTAATAAATGTTTTATAGACAATCATTGAGTTGATAGAATATTCAAAATGTATCGTTGACCCAAAGGGAGAACAACTTTCGCTTTTAACGTATAGGGACAATGCAACAACAGATGCTCTTATATATTTAATATATTTCAATATATTTAATAGGTGGTCGACTCATATCATTACGAATCAACGGACCTCAAATAAGCATAAGAATCGGACCATCCTTTATGTGTCATACTTCCTTGTTTGGTTTATATACAAGTAGCAGTACGCTTTGCTTTGTTGGTTTTCATGTAAGGATGAGTAGAGTAGGAATATAAGCGAGGCCTCTGATCCATATTAACACAGACCTTTACATATATTAATATTAGCACTCAAACCTCAGAATACCCAAGTAAGTCCCATTATCTGTCCCACCAAAAAACGTAACTGGAGCCTCTGACAGCCAGTTCTGTGTCTCTTTAAGCTAGATGATGTGTGTGTTGTAGAGTAGAGGAGGGCGATAATGGGAATTTTCAATCAATGCGATACCAAGTAAATACCAGGTCAGTATCACCGATATCTAGTGATGATGGTGAGATGAAGCCTCATCAGGCATTGAACCGTTTGGCCAAATTGCTTCAACGATCCCCACATTTCATGAAGCCCCATGTGAACATGTCACCACCTACTGCCATTTTAGTGAAATAACAGTGAGAAAATGTTTGTACAAGTAGGGCAATGATGAGAAAATGAAAGGTGTTGGTCATTTTTATTTAAACATAATAGTTTTTTCCACAGTTTGTGGTTTTAATTGGGTTGGAAGTTATGTGTTCAACCAATCTTTTGGTAAACACACCAATCTATTTCTTTGTGTTTTTACAAATCTATATGTATACTAGGGCAACAAATGCAAATTAGTCACATTAGTCAAAATACTAGATGTGTTTTATCAAAACTTTTTAAAGTCCGAGGTGGTTCTTGAACCAACAACCCACGGCTGGGAAGTCCATCTCTTACTTCTTATCTTATTAAGACATTTACATATTTATACTATAAATTTACATATTCATCAGTGGCTTGCTCAGATTTTGATCATTACGTTGTTTAATCCAACCAAACTAGTTTTAACCAACTAGATTGGTTGGAAAAAAACACCAATCTATTCTCTCCTACAAACTGCCACATCTTGACTGAATACTGAGGCTGTTTAAATGCCTGCTGAAGCTCAGGGCGGGCTGAACCACTTCCCGAAGCGGACATGTGGTATGGCGGGTTGCGAGGTTTCGGACATCATCTATTTTGGCTCCTTCCCCCAAATGAAGCAAGCCTCAATACACGCCTCACAGAATCTCCCCCTCTAGTACTCGACACACGCCTCGAAGCCTCATCTCATCTCCTAACATCACTACCATCACTACATTTAAGCTTGGTGTATCATGGAACTGTCGATCTTAAAGTGTTTTTTATTTATTATTACAATTAAATAATAATAGTATTAATAATGTAATGCTAATAGTGTTAATAATCCGCTGCTTTTATTTTATCGTTCAATCCTTACGTGATTTTGTTTGTATTGCGTGCACTTGCCTGTAGCTTTAAATCTATAAAGTTTCACATCGTGGGATAAATAAAGGATAGCTAATGTTAGCACACTTAGACGACATGTTTTAATGGAGTAAATTTACTGGATTCTTTCAAGTAACATATGACATAAAATATCTACTGTTAAAGTTGAAGGTATAGTGGAGAATGTTCTTTTTCGGGGTGGATCATCAAAATAAACAGCAATAATACCGGTGGCGAGTCTGACATATTGGAAAAATTGCAAATCTTCTTTTGGAAAGTAAGCTTGTATGAGCGATGCAAACAGCAACTTTTAAACAGAGCGTGCACAAGGAGAAACGCGTTTAGTAGGAGTTCCCTCTTGCGAGCAGGTACAGGGTTATGCCTGTGTATTTTTTTTAAGTGGAGAGAGCGGGTCACTGATATGAAGTGCTTCTGAAGGTGATCACTCTTATCTACCTGGGTATTCTCTCAGGGTCTGAAACACGTCTGTCAATCATGTCTGTCTGAGGGTCAAGGGTCTCTCGGGCCAATGAGCGAAGTTTCGTCTCTTCTCTCCGTTTCTGTAGCTCGACGTTTTCTTGCTCATGGTTTTTCATGGCTTCTTACAAACCATACAGCTTTCCGTTGTTTTCATTTATGTTATTTTCTGTTGTGATGGTCTCTCTCTCTCCGGCGTTTAAGCAGTTTTTGTATGGAGGGCAGAGAGAGCTGAGGGGGCTGGGCCAGGGCCAGGCTGAGCCTATGTGCTGGGCCGGTGACGAGAAGGGAGGGGGGAGCAGCGATGCGCTGTAATTATACAGACGTGGAGAATGGTGAATCTGCAGCAGTTAGTGCATGCAAGAGAAAATAAAAAGTTTCGATCTTGTTAAACGATTATTGTTCAATATCAAGACCAGCGTTGGTATCGATGGTATCGATCTTAGGATCGATTTGCCCACCTCTATTGATGAGGTCTCAAGTAATGAAGTACAAATACTTTGTTACTGTACTTAAGTACACTTTTTAGGTATCTATACTTTACTCCATTACTTATTTTTCTTCCTACTTCTGACTTCTACTTTTTAATTCTACTTTTAATTAAAAAAAAAAGTAATTGTTACTCTTGGCTTTCGATTTAATGTTTATAAATATTTGTCACATCATGTGGGCCAATCAATGCAGATCACGCAAACACTCACTGGTTAGCTAAAGGAAATCATCAGAAGCAAGCAGGTGTTCTTCAAACTGCAAACGTGAATTGTCTATGCCATGCTACAATGTAGGATTCAGAAAAAGATGTTGAAATGTCTGAAAGGTCGGACACAAGCGAGAGCGTATCGGGAGACGGAGACCAAAAAGACCTCCCTCATCCTTGGCTCTATCTCAAAGAATCTTTTGAAATATTTGAATATTTGAGCTTTTAATTCATATAGTGGCATCTGGCTGTTTTTTTAAATGTTACTTTATACTTTTTATACTTTAAGTAGTTTTTTGGAGCACAAACTTTTTCACTTTTACTTGAGTAAAGAGGTCAAGTTGATACTTAAACTTTTACTAGAGTGTTTTTAAACTGCAGTATCTATACTTCTACTTAAGTAACAAATGTGTGTACTTTTGACACCACTGGTTGTTGTATGTAAGCACTGTTTTTCTATGATTTTTGCTGTTTTCATGCTCTCTCACATGCTCTTTCATGTGCTTCCAGCCACTGAAACCGTTTCAGAAGCAGGGTTTACATTTAGCACTGCTGAAAATATGGTAGTGTATAGAGTATTGCAGAACCTATATTGGGTTGTACTCATTATTTGACAGTTTGTGTCTAAAGTATGATCTGTGATCAATACTGTATGTGTATGTTATTGGTTTTGCAAAATATGCCACAGATGGAACATAGCACATTCACTGGTCATTGGTCAATGTTTTTAAAACACAATAATAAATATAAACTTATCCATGATATTTCAAATTTTGTATATTTTTTTGTAACAGGTCCACATAAATAAAACAAAGTAATGAATAAATAAGAAAAAAAAAAAACTCAAGTAAAAAAAAAAAAATCTTGAATCTGAACAGTAGCTTTTCTTTTGAACAAACTTACTTTTCTTTAGGTACAGTCTTTTTCAAACTTTTTCTGGTTGATTTTTTTTCTCTTAAATAAACTTTATGGCCCAAATTTAGCCCCATGTTTCTATGCCACAGTCAACATCATCTTAGCAAGCAATATATTAAACGTATTCTGATGCTATTCATTCACAAAAATAAAGAAAATATTCAAGGCTGCTGGTAAGTTTTATTATTTTTTTATTTCATTTGGCAACATTGAAGAAATTACACTTTTAATACATTATAAAGTAGTCAGTGTACAGCTTACACTACAGTGTAAATTTGCAGTCCCCTCGAAATAACAATACATAGTATTTGGAATACCTATCATAGTTTAATATGCAAAATTTCAGATTGACCCAGTGGGACATTGTGCCGAGCCAACTGCAGCTGGTGGGCTTACACACTGGTGCAGCAACAATGCTGCGTTTTATAGGGTAGAAAAGAACACTTTGACCATAGACAGATTCCAGCCAAGCCTCTTGAATCCCCTTGTGGCCAGACACTCACCTCCACCTTCAAAGGTAGTGCACTTTTTGCTGGGTATGTATTCACCTGCTTGTGAGCACATGTGACTCAACATGAGTCTTCGTTTATCATTATATAAGACGTGCAGGGTGGGCGGTTAGTCAATCGTATTAGCAGGGCGGGGCCCCTCTTAAAATGTGGTAGTGAACCAAACCTAGATATGCAAACCTTAACAAGGACTTTAACTGTCAAAATAGCTCAATTCTATCAAACTGATTCCGTTAGCCGTTAGGCTAAAAAAAAAGCTGACATAATGGCCCAGCAACAGTGTAATTTTGACAATTGAGAGCTTTGCAGCGCATAATGGTGAAATATGTTTGCAAACAATCCTGATAATGTTAAACCTTCAATTGGAAAAAATGGAGACTACAAGTAGAATGAAGCAGAGTGAGGAAAAGTGGACTTTACGTCCTCCAGAAACTTAAGCCTATAGCAGCATCACAACAGAGATAGCTCAGGATAAACCGAGTCACTTTACCTATAAGCTTTATGAAAAGGGAAACCTTTAAGCCTAGACACAGACAATTAAAAATAACATATACGTTTATTTAAAGTTATTATTGGCGATCAATCAAATGCCAACAGCAACCGTTTGTATTTTTTTAAAAGCTACTTCATCTGTTTAGGATGAATGATAATTGTAGTAAAAGACTCTGATGGGTTAATATTAAAATGGGCACATCTGAACATGTTCTATCCATATTTCAATTATGAAACCAGAGCCTACTGTCAAAACTGAAGTTAACTCACTAAGCTGCTGAATCCTGCTTTAGGGCCTGAAGGTGGAGGTAGCTCATGAAGAACCACAGTTGTGTAAAAGGTTTTTTTTTCTCCATTTCAAATTTCAAGTAGATTTAGTTTCTTATTGATTTCAAATATTTCCTGATTCTAAAAACAGTTGTGACTGTTTTTGTTCTTAAGAGTGCTTTAATTTTTATTTCTCTTTTTTCTTTATTAGCAAAATGTATCTTTGAAATATTGAAGATTTTTGTTCTTAAGAGTGCTTAAATTTTTATTTCTCCTTTTTCATTATTAGCAAAATGTATCTTTGAAATATTGAAGATTATCCTGTGATTATGGAAATTATTTCACTATTATTTGAAGTATAAAAACTCATCGAGGATCCAAGGTAGAGCTGTGTTTCTTTTCTCCCCCTAGCTGCTGTGCTACTTATCATGATTTTAGAGATGTCCCGTTCCACCACTAAAGACTTTCGTCATTTGCTTCATAATGAAGTCCTTGTGACACTCTGGGGCTGCCCACACTGCTCACGTTCACGACTGCCCTGCTTGAGTGAAAAAGGTCCCTAAAGTCCACTCTTCCTCTCTTCTTTACAGCTAATCTCCCGCAAAAACCCAGAAGACGTCCAAGAGGTAAAGCTTTAAGCTGTATTTTTTTGTATTTATATGTGATTTGTTTTGTCTGTAAAGGTTGCAGTTAAATTTTTTCTACCAGTAGCTTTTGGTAGCTTCTATTTGAAACAGGACTACCGGTAGTTACAGATCAGATTTCTGATGGTCTTTTATTTCTTACTTTTCACTTTGCATCTTATGTTTTAAAACTGCCTAATTGGGCTTCAATTGCATTATCATAAAGCTCTGATTCATGACAAAATAGAGCATATTTTTTTCTTGTGCTTCTTATTGATAGTTCCAAGTTTTTATTGTTATTAACTCATGACTTAAAGATTTTTATGTCTTGCAAATAAAACTTCATCCCCCATTTTATTCAATGTCCACCAATATGCATTAGAATAATGCTTGAATTTACAGAGAGAGGGATTTACCTTTGTCTGGAACCAGAGCTAATGCAGCAAGCATGATGTCAATTACATTTGTTTGTTGTTTTTCTTCGAAGCACCACATTCCCACATTACTGAGTAGTCCTTTAGGCCGGCCGTGGTAGTTTGCCTGGTTTCTTATGAATCAATAGGAAATGTTTGATTTTAGCCAGAAGTTGATCTGAACATAAGGTTATTATGTTTCATTGCAAGTAACTTGTTCATCTGTGTGAACATGGATATAACTTCAGTTTGAGGATTTATTGTAAAATGTAAAAGAGCTATCAACAATTATAAGTTTCCAGTTAGATTTGTTAATGTACTTGAATCCTTTACTCGAAAGAAATCACAAGATTCTGTATAAATTTGATTTGTTAGGAAACTATCATTTATCTTTCAGATGATACAGGCATCACGATAAACGTTCATCTCAAAACCTCCTTTACTTCTCAGGGCTCCAACTAATGATTATTCTGCTAATCGATTAATCTGTTGATTATTTTTTCAGTTCATTGTTTAATAATTGGATAGAGAAAGGTTCCTTAAAAAAATACTTTTTACGAAATTAAACCAGGTGAAACTAAACTTTTTCATTTGAGGAGCTCAGGATTGAGCTTTCTGATAAATGAAAAATTTTTTTTTTTATCTTAAATGCAAAATGTTGATATATTTTTCTACAATCTTGGTATAATTACTGCGTCAAGTGGGTTGCTCTGTCAGCTAACGGCATTTTTTGGAGTCTCTATACTCCAATTAATGATTAATCGATTACTAAGTTAGTTAACGATTATTTCAATAATCAATTAATTACGATTAATCCGATGAATTGTTTCAGCCCTATTCTCAGTATAGCTTTAAATATTTTTAAGGTTAGGACTATTGTTGGTTTCCTGTCTCTACCCAGCTATGCTCTCTGTTCCTGTCTCTACAGATAATAGTATGGAAGAGATACAGTGATTTCCGGAAGCTTCATCAGAACCTCTGGCAGCTGTACAAAAATGCATGTAGCCAGTCTGAGCTATTTCCCCCCTTTGCCAAAGCCAAAGTATTCGGTAAGTTTTTTCTTATCTACTTCTTTATAGGGCTGGATATTTTGGCCAAAGTCCTGAATCGATTTGATTTTGATTCATACAGTTCTAAATCGATTCATTTCGATTCGATCTGTTTTTATAATGAAAGTGGTTCAGCTGTGTTTCAAAATACTCATATATTTTATTTTTTTCCTGTCATGTTAAACACCAAGTGCAAACTTATAAATCAGACAGCTTGAACTTAAGATGCGAACAAAATTGTCTCAAAAGTGCAAACTTGTTTGTGCAAAGTGAAAAAGAGAAGTCTCACGAGCAAGCAGACGTGACACAGCAGACATGCATGAGCTGCATTATCTTCACTGCACAAACCATATTTGCAGCGTTGTCTGTAACAACTACAGGGTGTTTTCTGGTCAGCCCCCATTTGTTAATGTCTTCAGTCAAACTATTGGCTATATTTTCAGCTGGCTGGCTTGAAGTATTCTTGGTGGTCTGTAGCACGAGATGCAAGGCGCCACTCATTATCAATGTAGTGGGAATTCACCTTAATGTCACATATCCAGCACATTATTAGCTGTATTAAATCCAAAATGGTTCTAGACATCAGACTTCAGTTGGGACAGCTTACTGAGCGGTGTGTTACTTGGGTCGGCATTTGCACACGCCTGCTCATTTGAATGTGAACGTTATGCGTGTCACTATAAAACTAATCGATCTCATTCCCTACACATCTATTTTGCAAAAATGTTAAGGAATCGATCCAAATCGATTATTTTACCCAGCCCTACTCATTTATATAAAATATTTACAATAATTCCATTAATACTTTAATGCTCTGTCATTTATGTTTATCCTTGTAATATATATATTCTAGTATAGTTGATAAAAGTCTCTTTTTTTTTCCAAAAAGTGTGTTTACCACTCTGTCACAATTAGTCACTGAATCAACTTTTATCAGTTAAATGGGATTTTAGGCAAAATAACAACACAAAGTAAAGCATAATCGTGAGGCGGAAGGAAAATCCTACGTGTCTTTATAAAGATTTCCCAATTACCAAAGATTTTCAACTTGAACTCTGTTTTGTAGGACCATCCCATCAAAAAGTTAACTCTGCTGCATTCTCCAAGTGTTCATGACCCACTACAGTTTTTCTTCCAGGATTATTCTATACTAAGCTCTACTCTTCTTTTTCCGTTAATTCTGTCTAGCAGCAGAAAAGCACCACCACAATATAATGTTGCCTTGCAACTTTCTCTGCACTAACCACAAGTAGGTAGATGTTTCACTCCATGGATTCCTTTATTAAATAACCTTGAAAGCTTGCTTGTCCAAGATTAAATTGTGGAAGGAGTTCTCTGTTAATGTGCGAAAAAATCATTTCCTCTGCTTGCATTCAAGTATCTGTTTTTTAGCTTCAACTCTTCTCCGTCCTCTGTGGAATTAAACTCGATTTAAGCATATTAATGTCCCCTATAGGACTGGAGTGAGAAAGTTAGTGTCTTACTTAAGTTAAATGTAGGGTAACCAAGGGTAACCAAAACTGATTGCGTCTGCGATTTGAAAATTGCATCTTATTTTTAAAATTTGTGATTAAATTGCAAATGCAATTTTTTCCCCAGCCCTGTTTTGGCTGAGGTGCGGTGCTGGTTTTTCTGCCACTCATGACATTTTCAATTTAGGTCAAAAGGTCATCTGATTAGCCTGATAAATCAGACTAAATGTGAGATTAAATGTGTAATTTAGTCTGGCCCCGATTCATGAGACATCGGCAGATTGTTGATGAGAACAATCCATTGTCTTTCAAACCGCTGTCTATTGGCCAACGCTCTGACCAATGAGCAAAACAGACTGTGACGTTTCAAAGAAAACCTCAAGTCTAATCCTTCCAAAACTGAGTCAAACGAGAGCTGTTCAATAGTTGTTGCCATCTTCTTTGTAGTGCTTTCTCCAGCATCGCGCAGCTTTGTCGTTCCGCCCTGAAATATGGAGCGATATTTGTGTCTTCGGTTTTGAGCGTGCAGGAACCAATCTGAGCACGCAGTGAGACAACATGTGCATGCTCAAAACCGGTCTTGCGCACGCTCAACTTTGAAAAACTCTTTTCAACACACTATCATCACACTCCGTTCCATCTCTGCGGGTTCTCGGATCCGTCTCTGCTCGCGCTCCACCTGCTCTCTCCGCGCTCAACACCAGCTGTGCGCTCGACTCTGTCTCTGGGCTTGGATTGGTTCCTGCGCGCTCAAACCGAAGGCACAAATATCTCTCCATACTGAAAACCCCACTCACTTTGCATCCAGAAATTCGGAACACATCTCTGCGTTGTGATTGGCCCAACAGTTCTAGGGCCTGGGGCATTCATCGAGGCCAGACCAAACTCGCAGGCAAAAATGATTTTGACAGCAGGCGGGTGGGGCAAGTTTACTAGGCTACATCTGATGGGACTAAATCTTATCTTTAAAGTACTCCGCTGTTTGTTTTTATTGTTCTTATTTTTTAAATATTTTTTAAAAAAAACATGTATCCCTTTCACTTCAACATGGTGAACTATGGTGTGTTAGTCTGTCATATAAAATCTCAAAAATGCATGTGTTAATGGTTTTAATGTGACATGTGAAAAGATCTAATTGTATAAATACTTGTAAACCAGTTTGCACTATAACTACCCAGTGTTTAAAAAGTGTTTGTGTCCATATAAAGGTCGATTCGATGAGTCCGTGATTGAGGAGAGAAGACAGTGCTCAGAGGATATCCTGCAGTTCTCTGCAAATATTCCTGCTCTATATAATAGTCAACACATCCAAGATTTCTTCAAGGTAATTAATATTTTGTCCAAAAAATGAGTTATAAACCAGATGGTTGAGTTATTTTTTGATATATTTATTTATCTTCCACCAGGGAGGTGAGATCCACGACGGCTCAGAGCTCATTGGACCAGCTGAGCCTTTTTCAGACTTCCTGGCTGACAGTTTATCAGACTGTAGTTCTGATGGTAGGCGTTCATAGAAAACTCCTCCTGAAACATTTCACTTTCTAATGTATTATAATTCATGAGTTGGTGTTTTTCTCAGTGCAAAGAGACATCAGTGGTGCTGAGGATTTGACTGTAACATCTGAATATGGAGGTGATTAAAAGATTTTGTATTATTTTTGTGAAATGTTGAATGTTTTGACTGGGGCAGTTTTAGTAATCTGTTGTATGTCTGGTCTCCCAAGGCCCTTCCAGTGACAGCGACCTGACCTCCCTGGCAGTGGATACAGATTCTCTGGTTGGGTTGGATGATGGCATGGCCTCAGGTAGCACCTCCCCTAACCAACCACAGGGGGGAGCCACCTTCAGTAGCTACAGCCCTCGTTTGCCCTCTCTGCGTGAACGCAGCACCCCGTCTCCTGCCTCTATCCCCATTAGTTCAGCCCCTAACCCCGAGGTCAGCACGCCAAGTCGAACGCAGCTCTTCTCCCGCAGTCTAAGGAGAACCAGCGGCATCAACACTAAGGAAGAAAAGTCAGACTACCTCGACAAAGCCAGTGAACTGATCGGTTTTGCTGTAAAAAAGGAAAGCGAGCAGGACTACGAAGCAGCTTTTTCATACTACCGTAGTGGGGTTGATCTGCTGCTTCAAGGAGTACAAGGTTAGACATCTCCAAAAAATTTACTACAACAATCAGACCCGAAGCAGTTACAGTGTTTGGCCTTTAATTACCAGACATTCAGTTATATTCATACTGTGGTCCTTATCATTAGCTCTTATAGGTTACAGGTGGTTATTATAAGAGTTTGTTTGAATTTTCTTTTAGTTTAGTCACTTTAGTCCTTTTGATGGGTAAGTGATGTTTTTAAGTAAACTAAAGCAACTTATATATAATATATTTTTAATTTCTACATTTATTGATGCAAAAGTTTTGTAATGATTGTGAACATTTCTAATTCAACCTTATTGGTATGATGAGCCAGAAATGCATAAAGAAATGGAAAAAGTACAACCATAAATATATAGAGTAAAACCATAAATATATAGAGTAGAAGTAAATAGAGTAAAGTTGTTTTTCTCGTCGCTTCTGTGTAGCAAGGTTCAGAATAGTGAACTTGGTCGAGTCTTAATGGCGTTCAGGGTAGATGAATGCGATATGGCCGTTCAGACACAGGTCGCATTTGAAAAGATCAGATATGTATCGGATTCAGGACCACATAGCCAAGCGGCCTGGGTGGCAATGGAAAAAATCGGGTCTTTGTTTTTCAGACTGACGTGAAAGATCAGATCCAGGTCGCATATTGGCAAAAAAAATGAGATTTGGGTCACTTCAGGCTGCAGTGTGAACGTAGCTTTAGAGTACTGCAAGGGTCTGATTTTTCGAAACTGTATTCGCCCACACCCATGGAGTTCAGAACAGAGATCTGGCCCGTAACCCACTATTATCCCCATTTAAAACCCAGCCCCGACCCCACGCACCCGTAAATAATAATGTGCGACCCAACCCGTGATCACAAGGTGTACACACTATTTATAATAACTGGGGCAGTAAAGAATTTGGGCTTACAGTTCCTAAGTCATTTGCTTTTCGATTTGGATATGCAAAATAGGCGAGGATTACCCAAAATGAGGTGGATGTTAAGAGGTTAACTGTGGTGTTCACTCGTCAGATAAGGAAGCGTCTTTTGAGTTTGTGAACCAGATCAAGCAGGAAATGATCTGGTTCAGATCACCCACTGATTTCTCGTTTCGATTGTCAAGCCTTTTAGAAATTTCTCAATTTTCTCTAGCTTTAAAAGTACATCGGACATCTATTTCAGTAGTTTTGTTTCTAAAATATTTTTACTCTTTTGTAGAGCAAGAAGTGTTTTTATTCAAAAATCTAACTTGTATTTTCATCAGTGAATATGACACTGATATTCCCTTTTTATAAGCCCAGTCATATTTATTTCATTATTGACAAAATCATTATTTATCAATAGATAAACTAAAAATGTAAATGTTTTGGGTTACCTCTCCTCAGGTGAACCAAGTGCCTCCCGCCGGGAGGCAGTGAAGAAAAAGACTGCTGAGTATCTGATGCGTGCAGAGCAGATATCAGCTCTGCATAGGAAAAGCAGTATGGGTCAGGGATCAACACAGACTGTGGTGAGCACTCAGTGCATTAAAAAAAAAAAAAGGAAAAAAAGAAATGTGATGATGTTTATAAACCAGTATTCAGATCCCATTTGTTTGCATTTTTTATAATTTAAAGTTAAAGTGAAGTTTTCTGTGCTTTTCGTTTTGTCCTAAGGCCTTTGGTGCTCAGTGCTGTTCTTCCACAAGCAGAGGAGGGCAGCAGAGTCCATTTGATGAGCTGACAGCTTACAGGGTGATAGGGGTCATTAATAAGGTAAGCATACAAGATCTCTAAGCTGCATGAAAGGATTTCCATTTGTTTTGATATACTTTGATTCTGAAATGTAATCATGAAGTGAGTCTTAGAGGTCCTTTATAAGGCCAAGTTCCTCTGTTTAGGAAATAAATCTGTCTTTGGATGCTGCAGGATTTAAGGTTAGATTATTTTTTTAAATTATAACCATTCAGGTCAAGCCAGCGGTCATTTATTTTATAATAACCCCCTGACCAAGAATGCGGATGGTATCCATCTTCAGATTTCTCCTCCTTGTGTCCTTATCTCCTACTCTCCCATCTCTTTTATCTCAGGCAGTAAAATGTAATAGATTTACTAGATGTATGGCAAGGGCTGAGTGTGTGTATGTTTAGCGTCAGTTATGACTACCACAAGGTCAGTTTGGGTAGTTGGTCCTCTCAAACAGCTGCCGGCGAAGCAACTTCACCACTGAGCCATGAAATGACTTGGCACGGAGCTCGGAGAATGACACACAACATTGAATCGATGATGCTCGGCCTTGTACGTACACACTCACACAGAACCCTAAGGAAAATGTTGATACTACACCAACATATGTGAGTTTTGCAGCGCAGTATTTCAAAAACTGCTGAAGTGCAAGGCAAAAACAATTTATGCATTATAGACGCAGTCTCCTCCTTCTTCTTCGTCCTCATTTTTATTTATTTTTTTACTTTAAATGAGGACAGAGGGTACAGATGGCAGGAGCTCCTCACCCTACTGCCCCTCCCTTGTCCCCTCTCTCCAGCTCACCCTCCTCTCTTCCCTGATGTTTATTTCTTAATTATATTAGCACCCTGGCTAGCACCGCCACTCTGTTTACTCACAGCTCCATTCATATCCATTTAGGCTGCACCTGTTTGGTCCCAGTCAGGGTCGCCTGCGAGCGACACACACACCGGGTCACACACATATGCTCAAGCTCTCCCTTGAGATAATTACAGACCAGAACAGCAATGGAGATGTTATCGAGGAAAGTAGGGATCATTTTGAGGGACAAAATGAAGATAAAAAAAAACAGGTTTGGAATTGAAAGTAAAGGATAAAGATAGTTGGTTTGACCTTTTGTTGAAATGTGTTCATTTCTTGATGACAGTTTTTTAAATCTCTGAGTAATTTCAATTTCAATTCAGTTTATTTATATAGCGCCAATTCGAAACACGTCATCTCAAGGCACTTTACAGTTAACCAGATCATCCATTCATATTGATTCAAAGTTTTCTATCTAAGGAAAACAAGTTGATTGCATGGACTCATTAACTCGAATGCAATTCCTCACACTAAGCATGCTTGTAGCGACAGTGGAGAGGAAAAACTCCCTTTTAACAGTACGAAACCTCCAGCTGAACTAAATGTTATAGAGCGACCATCCGCAGAGGCCGACTGGGGTTCAAGAAGATGGAAGCAGAGATACAAAAAGCAGCTGTAAAAGGCGGCCCTGTCCAGGAAACACAGCCAGGCAGACGAGCTCTGAGCCAAATCCCATGTCAAAGGATGAAGAGAACACATCAGAATAAGTTTAGAAATAGATACAAGAGTGTGGAAAATATATCCTAAACATTTAGTGTTAAAGCTCCATTCATCCATTGGACGCAGCTTATATTTTATTACTGGTTATTATTTTTACAATGATGGAAAGTAATGGCATTTCTCTTCTGCAGGTTCTTCTGGTCTTGGACAAGAGAACTCAGGAGACGTTAATCCTCAAAGTGAGAACCATTTCTGTGTTAGTGGGTGTTTGTGTATGTTTCGCTGTATGCTCGCCATCCTGGCTGTGAGTGCGAAGTGTGCCAGAAGCCCCTGTGTGTGACCGGTGTAATTGATTCTAATGGGCCTGTCTCTGTCAGCTCCTCCGCTCTCAGGTGTGAGACGTGTGCCAGATGCTAACGCGCAAATGACTGCACACACACACAAACAGGCAAACCCACACATTTCCTCATAGAGTCTTCTTAATTTGTGGGGCTGTTTCAAATCAGATGCTTTATAAAGCTTGATGAATCCAGCGACTTTGGGTTGCCCTGGGGCGTAGACGACACTTTAAGTTAATGGAAGGTTTCTCCTTTGATGTTTTCTCATTTCTCTCCCAAACATAGTTTACTGTCTAATGTAATCCCTGAACACATGTTTCGTTGTAGGGACTGAGAAAAAGCAGTGACTGCGGACAGGTTAAGAAGACTATTATGCCTTTGTCTGTGCCCCACATGGTGCAGCTGAGAAAGTTCATCATCTCTGAAGACAGTGTTTTCCTCCTGCTGCATTACGCTGAGGGTGAGGCATACCTGTTCTCTATAAATATGCTAAACCTTCTCAACTTCTTCTTTTTCCCCACTGATCAGATATTCTGTCCCCTCTGTGACCTTGTTTCAGACAGATGTTTTACTGAGATTGGTTTGTGTCACAGGTCATTATTCTGAATAGCGGGTGGTGCCATGCTTCATTAGCTATTGCAACACCTGGGCCTCCTTACATCCTACTTACTCTGGGTGTCCATATGCACAGTGCATACACAGAAATACTCAGATTTCATAATAATTATGCCCTGCAATTAACCTTAGCTAACATTAGTAGGAAATATTGACACCAGTGTGAAGGTGTCTATACCTTTTGTTATTCAGGGTTATTTTACAAATGGAGGAAGTGACCTAAGCAACACTGGATCAGAAGCATGGGTTTACTGTCTAAAGGCCAATTTATGCTTCTGATACATAGACTCTGCAACCGTCAAATCTGTCTCTGTGCGCGACCACACCCCCCCACATCGGACGGTCACAAACCCGCGCAGACCTCATGCGGAAGTGCACAGACAAAAAGCAGCTGTGATTGGTCCTTTGTATGCCTTTCCGGCTGTCTGTGTGGTCGTCCTTCTCGATTGGGTGCCGAGGCACGCCATCTTTAAAAATCGAGGAGCAATGGACAGCTATGACGAAAGGTTAATCAAGGAGGTTCGGAAGTACAACCACATGTTGGATGCCTCAGATAAATTATATAAATACATATATCTCCATCTCACAGCTAGAGTTCTCGAATAGGCTCCTCCTTGCGCTTTGGCGGGAAACTGCTGTGCGTTCCTAGAAATTCCAGACCGACGGTGCAGAAGCATACCAGCAAAACTGGTTCGCGACCAGACCCATGCGACATTTGATGTGTGCGGTTGCAGAAATATAATCTGCCCTTAAGTGGGGGTGGGGAACTAAGAGGTTCTTCCTGCAACATTTAGATTATACTTTGGTCCAACACGCATGAATCAAATGACTTAAACAAACTTTATATTTTCGATACGTACAGCTTTCCCACAGTGAATGAGCAGCAGCTTAGTTGCAAATTGCTCAATTACCTCCTCAGTATAAAGTCAATTTCTCCAGAGCCCTGATCATCATCTAATTACTTGAATCAGTGTTAGATTAAGGATGTATCTAAAAGCTGCAGCATACCGGCCCTCAAAGACTGGATTTGTCCTCCTCTTATCTAAGGCATGGGTCTGTCCTTTCATCATCATTGTGGTTCTGAGCTTTATATTCGTTCAAACAGATCCAGGCCTCCAGCTGCTGTTCCTGCGGCTCTACATATTTATGTGCACTGAACTTCTACATAGTGTGAAAAAAAAAAACAGGGACTCCCAATTTTTAAGGTTTTTGGTTTAATTGATGAGTGTGGGGAAAAAAAGTGGTGTATTAAAAAATATTTTCAGACCAAAAACATGTTCATCCCTTCTGATCTGGGAAAGTTTGGTATATTGAAATAAATGCAGAGCCATTGCATTCCTCACTCAATAGCGCTTGTTGCATCCATGCTATTTACTGACTGATTACAAGATTGTAGACACATGTGACGCTAATTAGTGCAAACACCTTGATTTAACATGTCCCCTTTGTGGAATTATTTTCAGTCTTTTCTACGGTTATTATCAGTTTATCCAGGCCTGTTTCATGTTTTTTTTCTTTATATTCTGCGGAAGCATAGTTGAAGAGCAATGTCTAGACTAAATTAGTTCATTTCAATAGAATTTACTTAATTACAGATTTAAGTTATTTCTGTGACCATTGTGGGTTTTTTTATTTCAATAATGAGGCGTACCAATGATTTTGTCCATGTGTGTCTGTATGAAATCAGAGCTTTTATAGACGATGGAAAATAAAGAATAAACTTTGTCAAAAATTATGAAAACAATGTTTATGGCCGAGCTGTTTGCTCACAAGGAAACTAAATATTTTCGTTTCTCTGCTTCACTAACAAAAGCAGCAAGAGTATTGTTGGTCTTGTTAAGGTAATACAATGTGTTTTTGAAGGTTAGCTGTAGCTTTTATTAATTCAGACAATCAAAAAAAGTCAATTAGTTTGTCTTTTCCTATGTTCTCCCTTTCTTTTTTTTTAACTGTTTGCTTTCTTTCTGTTTAGGTGGGAAGCTGTGGTCTCACATTGGAAAGTACCTCCGTAATTCCAGCCCAGAGGAGAGCTTTGAGATTCCTTTCATCCAAAAGAGCCACACCACAGCTGTACATTCTCCGCACCATATAATACCACAGCTGGATGTCTGTTCTGCCAGCTGTGAGTCGGAGCTCATTACTGGTTCAGATCCTGCTTTTGGCCTTCAGAGAGAGGAAGAAGTTCCCTTTGTGTCTCCTGTAAAAAGTGCCGTCCCTGCAGTGCTCCATGAACAAATTGGTGGGCATTCTGACTCTGGGGCTACCTCCGAAGAGGAGTGCACCAACAGCTACTTGACTCTTTGCAATGAGTACGAACAAGAAAAAGTAGAACCAGATGCCCTAGAAGAGGAGGGTGAGGAGAAGAGCGAAGAGGAAATGCTCTCTCTGGAGGTGCCTAATGCAACAGCAACAGCCTCTTCTTATAGTCGTTCTCTTCTCAGCAATGACAGCCTTTCTTCACCGGGAGGCTCTCAGGAACTCGGCTTCTTCAGTGAGTTTTCTGACAAGAGTGGCCAAACCCTCGAAACTGACCAAAACCGCAGCGAAGGACATGAGAACAGTGATGTTTTCAGTCCCTCACGGTCTCCCACCGAGCCTCTCTCTTTGGATCAGTCCAAGCACACCCCGATGGAGTTTTTCCGCATTGATAGCAAAGACAGCGCTAGCGAGGTGACTGGCCTGGATATGGGAGAACACTGGAATTCTCAGAAGCAGCCCCTTCAGTTTTCTACATCCGATCTAGGTTCGGAGGTCACTGAGGATCTCCCAGAGCTGGCTCAGGAGGTAAAAGGCCCAAGCTTGGAGTTCTGGGGTCTGGACTGCAGCGATAAGGCGTCTAATGAGTCTGTGCCAGTCATTTCTTTTAAGGAGGCTGTAGTGGAAGATGAGAGTCATCCACCAGACTTATTGGTCAATCTTCCTGTAATGAGTGGAACTGTAAATGCTCCACAGGAGGAACTAAACCCTTCAGGGGTTTGTTTAGGCATTGAGGTTGCAGCCTCACCTCAAAAGTACATCCAGCCTGATGTTTTGCAGCCTCATAGTAAGCATGAGGATCTGGAGGAGCAACCACTGGAGCAAGACCTTTCTTCCTTCTCCACAGCCTCTGCAACTTGTGACACTAGTCTCGCATGTCCTTCTCTGTTGGACGAAAGCTTGGCATTTGGACTAGAGGCCTCCGACAAAGGCTTTGATAAAGATGATGACAGCCAAAGCAGTGATCACCTTCTTGAATCAGGCATTTTAAGCGATAAACCTCAGCCCTGTACCACAGGAAAAACAGACTCTGCTCCACTCCCCAGTAATGGCGTTGTAGCCTCTGTCCCAGCCATGAACGGCACTCAGACTTGTGCAGTCGTCGAGAGTTTATTAGGACTTGATGGTGAATCATCAAGAGTCAATAAAACCACAAGCAGCAGCGACTTTGATAAAGACGTGTCACGGCTGTTTGCAGAGTTGGACGAGCTGTCGCTGGCAGCCACCCAAGCTTGCATCCCGGAGGAGTTTGTGCGATGCTGGGCTGTAGAGATTGTGACAGCCTTGGACTGTCTACATCAAGAGGGTATTATCTGTCGCGACTTGAATCCCAATAACATCCTGCTAGACCATCAAGGTGAGAGATTTTTTTTTTGATACCTTATTGATTGCTTAACCTTATGGAGACTTTTCAAGCTCTCTTTTTGTCAATGGTAATGAATACACAGATGTTCAAATGCAGGTTTGTGTCACTGGAAGCGTGGTAGTAATACATTTTACACTGAATCCAGTGCCTTGCAAAATAATTCACATTTTGCCAATTTATAGCCACCAACTTTAATCTGGAATCCATGCAATAGACCAACAAAAGTAACAATTTTGATATGATGGGAAAAATAATTCGTGTTCTGCAAGGTTTTTATATTTCAAAAGTAAAAACATGTTCTCCAATTAACTGGCCCTCCTTCCAATTGGAATGGGAGCATTTTTCACACAAGAAAACAATCAAGAAATAAGTAAAAATTTGTTCAATTAAGTGTATTTACCCTTAATTTGAGTAGGTAAATAAGAGTTTGCCAACGGAATGAGTATTTTTACTCTTGGAATAAGATAATTAGATAATATGCACTTGAAATAAGACAATGCAACTGTGTTTTCTCATTTTAAGTGTAAATTATCTTTTTTCACTGGCGAAATGTCTCTTTTACCTCCTCAATCCAAGAACAAATACACTTATTTTAAGAAAAAGAAAGGCTTACCTAGATTTTAATGTTTTCCAGTGCAAGCCTTGCCTCCAACTCTCAGTTGGCTCCTGTTTTTTTTTATCTAAACACATCTCATTCATAACTGCCATATTTGTGGAATAAACAATAAACCTGGGCGGTTAATCTCTGCAATTGCAGTTACTGTAGATTTGCTTTCATAGCCAGACTCTTTTCATCCTCACATGATGGATTAAGCAGTGAGAGGCTCAAAACTTGGGTTATTGTTTTATGGCCTAATCCTGATAGAAACGTTTACCCAACTTTATCCCTGATCTGCCTGATTTGTTTTTCGGTTTACATTTTTATAAGATGGCTGACATTATTTTGAACTACCTTTTGTTGGTGTATTTTATAAAATCTCAATGCAATATCTTCAGGTTGTAAAAATAGAACATGCAAAAATGTTGAAGGGTTCTGAATGTTTGCAATGATTTCCTTTGTATAAAAAAACAAAATATCAGCTAATTCAGCTGCTGGGATTCTTACTTCTAAACTTTGAGGTCAAGTTACACTTCCTATAATCTCTGTTGTACCTAATCTTGGCTGTACTGCACTTCATTCTCCTCTAGCCTTTCCTGAGCATGATGTCAGATTGCCCCTCAACTTCTTTTTGTCATCCTACAATCATCTCTCTTAGCCTTGTTATCAACAAGCGTCTAATTAGCTGAGTGGCTGTTTTTCGTCTCCCTAGTGGTAATTATTGTTCTAAAGGGCCCATCAGCGGCCTAGTGTGGTGCATCAGTCTGGCTAGCTGAGGCTAATGGCTACGGCTACCTAATGACACCATTAGTTCTAATGATAGCGTTAACGGGTAGCCGCTAAACAGGAGTAATCGTCAGGGCTGTTGCTTGTAGAGGGGTAGAAATGAGTGGAGGAAGAAAGCTCTCTGTGAATAGTTATAAAATAGTTTGAAAGGTCAATCATGTTTTTGTTTTTTTTTCTTCTCCCTTAGGGCATGTGCAGCTAACATACTTTTGTAGTTGGTGTGATGTGGAGGAGTCCTGTGACAAGGAAGCCATGGCCAATATGTACTGTGCACCAGGTGAGAATCAAACATTTTAATGCTCAAGGCTGGATTTAAACCACATCGTTAAACTCTGGATCTGAGAAAGCTGAGCAGATGCACTACCATCAAGCGTCTCCCTCTCAAGTTTGGAGCAAAGATTAGAGTTTTAATTGATTTATATTCTAGATTCCACTAACAGTTTTTTTTTTCTTTACAGCAGTTATCTGTAAAGAAAAATATAATAAAGCAAAATCTGCTTTATTATAAAGAGAATGCTTTTCAAGTGCCTCAAATATTATTTGTTTCCTCCAGCTGCATGAAGTTGATTGTAACAGATTTTATTATAAACCATTGAGAGGTACTTCTCCGAGTCAACAGAGATTTCTGGTTTTCTGTGGGGACTGAGCTATCATTTCTGATTAACCTAAGAATTTTAACTCATGAAAGATGGAAAAAAAAAATGCTGCAGCTTCTTTCAGAAAAGGAATTGTATTTGAGTATCCCTATCTATACTTCAAAGCATCAATTTTAAGCTTTTATCTAATATTTATTAAATGGATCAGTAAAAAATATAATGTCTATCAAGACCTAAAACTGCTGAAGTCCTTTTAGTATGATATATTTAATAATAGATTGAAATAAATATTTTTTTATATTTAACAAGCTGCATTCCATATAGAGCCAGTGAAGAGAAAATTGGCTAATTCTGGCCTCTACCTCACACTATACAGGGCATTAGATGAAGCTAACCTCTAGTTATCAAATATACTAGAACTTATTTAATGTTTAAAAATCCCAGGGATTTTATTCTAAATGTAAAGTAATAAATCTCAGATCTTAAGGTTTATTTACTGCAGTTATTCTTTTGTCCTTTAGAGGGTGGTGTTGTGCTACATTCCGCTCATATTGCTGTAACTCAGTGTGGTTCTCCCAGCTGACATGAGGCAGCTGAGGCATGCTGTTTAAAAGCCGCCCAAAACAAACTGCAGCTAGACTATAGCTCTCAGTCTCTATTTAGCACTTCTGTTTGTGTGTGTGATTGTTAGAGAGTATGTTTGTTTGTGCTTGTATGTTTAATTCTTTCTCTTTTAAATCATTATCTGCCTACCTCCGTATGTTTAATATATTTATTCTGATTACATAGGATTGACACACTTTTAATAGTATGTGTCCTATTAATTTTTCCCTCTCCAGAAGAGGAACATTATATTGTGAAGAAGGAAATCTCAAATTTGTACCCTTCATTTTAAAACTTTTATAACTTAGTCAAGTAGTTAAATAGGCATTAGATTCTAACTACAAAACTCTGAGTAAAAAGGCCATGGTGTTCCTGTGTACACAGCAAAAATATAGTATAATTGATTTAGAAAAAAGGAAACCATCATTCTTCTGGTTTTAAAATGATATAACATTGATTATTCCACACCCGGTCTCTGCTGACTTCTTATTAGACTTTACTCAATTGTCCAACTGTTTTCTTAAAACATTTCCTTTATAAAAGTGTTCATCCTTTCTTTTATAAAAGTTTTCATCCTTTCTTGAGTTTCCATATTTTTGCGGTCTGTGTTTTTACAACTGTAGATATTTCTTAACAGCCAAATTTTTCATTCTTTTGAGGAAAAAATTGCAGGTAAGGCAAATTTATTTGTATAGCACAATTCAGTACAAAGACAATGCAAAGTGCTTTACATGATTAAAATATAGGAAAATTAAACAGATTTGGAGCAAGTAGAAGAAAAAATAATAATAATAATAAAAAAAATGTAGAAACAAGAAAGAACATTAAAAGCAGTTTGACTAAAGAAAATAAAAAAAAAAAGAACTGATGATGTTTCAGTTGAGCTGTTTAACTAGAACAGTCGAAGGCAATCCTAAACAAATTTGTTTTTAGTCTTGATTTAAAGGAACTCAGGCTTTCCGCACTTTTACAGTTTTCTGGAAGTTTTTTCCAGATAAGTGGAGCATAGGAACTAAATGCTGCTTCTGCATATTAAGACTCCTTCTTTTTAGCTAACAAACTATCAAGGCTCAGAAACATGTGTGGGACGAGCAACATCAGTCTACTCTCCATACAGAGCATGAGAAAACTCACATTTGCTACTTAAATATTTTTGGAAAATGATATTTAACTCCTCAGCTGTGAAGCTTATCCTGAATATGTTTTATGCGTATAATTCTACACATGTTCGTACTCTGAATGCTTGATATTATCTTGATTTATTAGGGTTCATCCAAGCAATGTGTCAGTTTTTGGCTCTGCAAACCTGTGTACATTATAAATTGAAAGCATTTCTCTAAATGCATTTTAGTCTGCTCCACTCTGTAGATCCAAACAGGCCAACTAAACAGAAAAACATCCATCCTAACCGTATACAAGGTGTGAAACATCCTGATAGTCACACTTGATCCCCGGTGGTTTGGATGTAATTTTTACTATTTGCCAGCAGGGGGTGTGTTGCCATGCTGTGAAGTTAAAAGACCACTCCGACATTTATTGACTGCTGTTCTACTGAATCACAGGCAACTTCCTCTCTTTATCTCGTTTGTCATTGTTCACATTTACCTTAAACCCAGCTATGACGCCACCCGGCTATAATAATGCCTTTCCCGTACTGATATTTTAGTCCATTCTTCCATACATATATGCAGGCATTAAATGTAAGTACAGCAGAGAAAACACACACACCCTGTTGCAGAGGTTAGGGAGTGTGTGTCTCTGCTGCCCTTGTTATGTATTGCTGTTTATCCAGACAGGGTCAGCTCTAGCTATGGCTTCATTCCTGATGACAGATTTATGAGTGTTTGCCAGAAACCTAGCAGGGTGCCTGCTGTGACTGAGGCACCCCGTGTGTATGTGTTTATATGGTGTGTGTGTGTTTGTGAAGGAAGACAGCATGTTTTTTAAAACACACTCATTCACACCCAAAAAAACACGGGAGTGTACTTGGAAAATGCGGCGGCGACGGGGGAATTAATCTGTTTATCCTGCACTTGTGCTTATTTATTTTCTCACTGTAGTGTCATTACAGATAAACATCAGATGGCTAATGTTTTGTTCTCTGATAAGAAGGAAAAAAGCAGTTGCCTTTTTTTTTTTTTTAACTTCTTTAGAAGGACAACCTAGTTTAAACAGAAAGGGGAATTGTTTATTGTTCTGTTTATAAGGAAGCAAAGCTGAAACTGATTGTCTTGGTCGTCTAAGAAAAGGGAAATTTGATTTTCTTCCTCTCAGAGAGAACAGTTACCGAGGACTCCACCATCCTTGTTTTGGATCCTTTTACCTACTCAGCCTAACATGATCTAATGGAAGATAAAGTTTAGTTCCCCTTTTTACACCAGGCTTTCATTTCATTGTTTAAAAAAAAAAGGTTGTTCAAGGATGGCATAACCTGGCAGGACTTCTGCTTTATTATTTGACTGCTTGTTCTCTTACCCAACAGTTAAGACATAAAGTGAATCTTTATGAACAGACAATTTACTAAATGGTGCTTATTTCATTTATATTTTTATTCAATTTATTGTAGTTCTTACATTCCTTCCTCAAACATGAATTATAACCAGTTGAAGGGGTTTTATTTTACATCATAAAAAAAAAAAATCTAGCGACTCACCCACCCTGAAATCCCTCCTCGAAAGGCTGCTCTTCTTTAAATATTTTTAGTTTCGTTAACAAAATAAATGTGAAATGTTCTTAATACATTATTATAAAAAAAAAAATTGCAAGAAATTGCTTGTTTAAAAAATTTATTACGTTAGGTTTAAACAATCTTTTACAGACAGGGAAATTAGGTAAGGCTAAAAAATGTATTTTAATTGTAAATATTCTATGCAGTGTTAGGGTTGCATTTAGATACTGACCTCATCCACAAGTAGAGTAAGCCACAAAAGGCATCTTAAGCTTGCTGCTTACAAGGGATTGAGCTTAGGCATGTTCAAGGAAAGTTGGGTGGAAGAAAAAAATTGCAAACAACCCAGACATCACAGACATTTTTTATGTCACTTCTCTGCAGCTAAAAGAGACTAGATTGTTGCTTGGTGGTGCAAATCTTTGCAGATTAAAGTAAAGTGTGCATTTTTAGGTAAATTGAGGTCCCAGTCTCTACATCTGTAAATATTTCTGTTATGAATCAATATCTGTCTGAATTTCTCTAAAAGTTTTTTTTATGATTTATAAAGATCTCGACACGAACATCTATCTAATAAATAATTGGGCAGATATATGCGTATTCGTCTATAACACCTTGTTTGAATAGAATAATTTAGTGCAAGAATTTAATGAATCATACAGATCGGTGACTGGATCTGACCGGTTTTCTTGATTAGGTTTTTTGGGGCACATTGAGTTTTGTAAATTACGGTAGAAAAAGGACAGGCACACTGGAATGGTTCAGTCTGAATCTTTATAAGAAGATTTATAAAGATATTATATGAAAAAAAAATGAAAAACATGTTCTCGGATATCCTTTCAGTCTAATGAGTGATAATGAATATAACTGATCCTGAACTACTCCATAAACCATTTACCGCAGTTTGTTGACAACAACCAAACGCCTTAGAGATTAAGCTCCATATGAGAGCTTAATCTTAAGGTGCTTTGCCCATTGCTGCTTCTAATATTTTATGGTCTGAAAATACTGGAGAGGGAGCCTGGAAATTCATTTAAAGTTCCTTTTATGGTTGATAAGTTTTAGGTTTAGTGATCAAGAAAGGAGTTGTTTTCAGTGCAAGATCTGCAATCAGTAATGTGGTTGTTGCCCTTCTACTAAAGACTACCTTTATAAAGTCAATTTCTTTAACTAATAGATCATTTGCATTAATAGTTCATATAAATTTCTATCTTTTACATAGTAAAACTTCTGTTATTTGCAAGTTGTTATGATGGCTTGGTTAAGTTTTCCTGTTAAGCAGAACAAGATGTCTTGAAAGGTGCCGTATGATTCCATTTATGGTAATAGTTTGTGTGTTTTCTCTTTTTTTTTTCCATCTTATTTAATTCTTTTAATTTTCAAACTTTGTTTAAGGGACTATTTTGTCTCTTGTTTTGCCTTCAACTATCTCTGTGTGTTTGTCTTTTCTGCCTTCTGCATGTCTTATGGAAAGTGCTTTGCATTGTTTAGAAGTGTCATTGTACTTTCGGTACTTCCTACCTGCAGTTTACTTCCTCATTTTATGGCGACTGTCAGTTAAGGTTTTAGGGAAGTCTCTCTAAGAGGAGAAGAAAGAAAGTTCCTTATGGCGCCCATGAGAAATGAGAAAGTGGAGTGTGATTAAGATACGCAGCAGGAGAGAATGTCGTCAGGTGGAGGGGAAAGGAGATGAGGCTGCAAGCTGGGAAGTTTGTGCTGCTCTGCAAATGTTTTGTCTTTTAATTCTATAAAAGTTGTAATGAAAGAATGAAAATACCAGGTAACACACCATGAATCCCTTTTAGTAGGAGTGGGCTCATGGGTCCTTCTAATTCTCCCTTCCCATCCGCTTTTTCTCCATCCTGTTTGCTCCCTTCCTCACTCTGACAGAGCAGTAAGTGTGGCCAGCTCCACTGTACTCTCCCTGCAGCTCCTTAGACATTAATCCATTGTGATGACATCGACCTTGCTCTGAGATGCACACGCGTGTGCATGTCCAGCTTTTCCCCTCCAGCTCGTAACTACACAGGTATCAGTGGTCCGTTCAATGACGATCTTCTCTCCTTGGCTGTCAAAACAGTGGTCCTGGGATGCCCCAAAGACTGGTTGCTCAGTTGGCTGTGTGTGTGTGTGTGTGTGTGTGTATATATGTGAGATTCAAGTTGTATCATAGCCCTCTCCAACCTTGGCTGTAAAGAGAGCCGCGCAGGGCCCCGGAGTTTTCCGACAGCCTCCGGGAAACGAGGGGTCTTTGTCTAAAAATGCACCCCCAGCTGAGGAGCCCGTTCCCTGGGCACACACAACCGTGACCCTGGGTCCCAGCCCTCTAGGTGACCAACCCCCTCACCCCCCATCCCTCTGGAGAGTGGAGAAGAGGCTGAGCAACACATGAGGCCATCTGGTCCCCAGTGGAGCTACCATACAGCAGCTATGAATGAAAGTCACTCTCAGGGGCCGTTCAGCTGTGGATTCCCGCAGCCTTCAATAATGACGGTTTGTCTGGATGATCAGAGTGCGGTGGCTGGTCTGACTTCTATGAAATGTTCACCTATGAAAGGCTTTTTGATCTTATAGACAATCCGGCTGTTGGTTTTACAACGCTGATGCAAGACGAGGTTGTTGTCAAAAAAAAGAAACCGGTTATGAAAACTTCATAAAGTACAAAACCTAATATATAAATATAAGAAGAAATAAATTTAGATGTTTTTTTTTTTCTTTTTATAAAACCGTCATTTGATGTTTTTTAAAGAACTGCATTGTAAAAGTCTTACCTAAATCCTTGGCTCATGTTAGATAATAAAGATGTAGATTTACACATTTGGTGTCTCAATGTTACCATATCTTGGTGTGTGTGTGGGTGTGTGTGTGTTTTGAATAAGTGGGTGTTTGCATTCGGGGTCAGGTCATGCAGATGGTGTGAAGTTGCTGCACAGAAGGTTTCCTCAATTTAACTGCTTTTTATTATGCAAATTGCCCTTCGATGAGACACACTTGGAGTGTGTGTGTGTTTGACAGAGAGAAAGAAACTGTGTTCATGATTTGGTGCTCGTCTGATTCCGATTGTATTAATTCATTCACATATTGAGTAACGCATTATGACAGAGACGGATTTTAACCTAAAGAGATTTAAAAGGATGATATAGAAAATAAAGCATTTAAGGATCAGTTGATGCTTTCAGCTGAATCAAATTCACATTTCCTCAACATGAAGATCTTTTTCCACCTTGTTATCGTATTGATTATTTCTGTCTTTTCTTTTGCCATCGTCTTCAGAGGTGGGAGGGATCAGTGAGGAGACGCCGTCCTGTGATTGGTGGAGTTTGGGCGCCATCCTCTTTGAGCTCCTGACAGGAACGGTGAGTCAAAAAGTATCGACTGTGTTTCTAAGGTGTTGTGGGATTTCTGTAGGTGTCTTGGCTTTGAGCTCGCACACACTCTTTATGGTCCTGCCAGGTGGTGTGTGCGTGACTCTTCATTTGTGTTTGTATGTTTTCAGTGGGCGGGGTTAGTTGGTGTTTGTTTTTGTTTTTTTAAGGGGGTGGGGGAGATATGTGTGTGAGGTGCGTCTTGGCTGCAGTCTCTTACTCCGGTTCTCCAGGAGTGCCAGGGGTGTCGGTGTGACTTTCTCCCCCCAGCCTGTGCTCCATCTGCTGGGCCACTGGGTCAGCTCTCCCCGGGCCTTTCTGCTGGCTCCTGGTGCAGCGCTGGGCTCGGGACACACTGACCTCAGATCAGCATGAAAGGTGAAGACCTCGGCGGCTCTCAGGATGCTGCAGCTTGGCTGGTCAAGGATGAGATGGACCGTTTTTTTAAGTCAGGCTTTTGAGGAATACCAATACAAGGCTAAAGAATTCACACCCCTGTAACTTCAACGGGCTTTAACAGCCTGACAGCAGATAGGATGTTATTAACAGACAACAATAGCAGATCATACCCCTTTACTCTGATACACCTGAGTAAAATCCATTCAAATCACATACCTTCAACAGCTCGTTAGTGAGGAGTAGGGGTGGAACGGTTCACAACATCCACAGTTCGGTTCGGTTCACGGTTTCGTGGTCACGGTGTTCGGTTCGGTATATGTTTATTGTTACACCTAAAAAAAAAAAAAATTATAACAATTATAAAAATTAATCCAAAAAAAAATTATGAAATTAATGAAAAAATAAACAAAAAAATATGAATTGTAATTATTTTTAATGATTCGCTGAAACCATGGATCATTTCCGCATGTTTTGCTGCTTTGAATTTAATCATCTTGCGCATGCCCTCTACGATCTCCAAGGAACTCAGAGCGGAGCGGACGGGAGCCACAGCGGAGGCGGTAGGCTTTGCTTTGTACAGGCGGTCTGGAGCGCTGATGGAGTATGTGGGATTTCGGGGTTAGCATGACATTTTGGTCATGTTGCTGTTAGCATAAACAAAACATGTTGCACAATGCTTGCACACTGTTGCACTTTTATCCCCAACTTTCTTTCCGCCGTCATCGTAGGCCACTCTAAATGCAAAGCGCTCCCATACAGCAGACCTATAAAGTGCTCCTGTTCTTTCCCACTCGCCATACCCACACAATTCTCCACAACTGATTTTTTTCTGCTACACCCGGTTCTTCTTCTTCTTGTTTACTACTGGTGGTTGGCTTTGGTCGCAGTAACGCCACCTTCTGCTCTGGAGTGTAAAGGCTTCGCCTATGAGAAAAAGGAGCAGTTCATGAACCGAACACAACACACGCAAACCGAACCGAGACAGTCGAACCGAACGGTTCGGACGGTTTTCATAAACCGTTCCATCCCTAGTGAGGAGAGTTCACCAACAATCACCATGAAGAAGAAGTAGTGAAACAGTAGAATAATCAGGGATACAGTTATGAAGAGATTTTAATGCAAGGTAAGTTTATATATATATATATATATATAAAAGTGTTTAAAAACTCTGCAGCACTGTTTAACCAGAAAACGTAAAGACGATGAGGCAGCTGCAAACATATGAAGAGATGCACTGGAACCGACAAGCTGGCAAAGGAGAACGTTAATTAGCATTTGTGTGTTTGGTTTTGGAAGTTGTACTTCCGTGTGTTTCCTGTATGCCTTCAAGAAAATGTAAAATGTTTGATTTTTAAGGATTACTGGAGGTTTGGCTTTTCAGCAATGAAATTATAAGGAGGCCAGAGCCAATGCCGAGGTAGAATGATTATACAATGACATCACGATCAATGTTGATGCATCTAGAATTCGATATGTTTAATGCCCTTTAGAGATGCTTTGATATCCTCTCTCATCTCACCCGTGATGTTTACATGGCATATTTTATTTGAAAGATGCAATCGCTGACAACAAGTTCTCAGTCTATCCACCTTTTTTGATCAGCAT